CTATCCTGTATTTTTCCTGGCAACTCATCCACATTCTGTAGGTGAATCTTTACCAGACCGTTATCTAACTTCTTTTTCAATTCATGAACTTTTGATTTGTCATCCGGTAAAGAGCTAGACGAAACATATTTCACTTCTTCCTCAACATCTTTCGTTTTTTCCTGCTCCTCATATACATTGGTTTGGTCTACTGTTCGTCGTATTTTTCCTGACAACATTCTTACGTCTCGAGGTACCTCTTTGCTCCAATCACTATTAAATAAGTGTAATTTCTGTTCTAGTTCGCGGCGTTCATATTCATTACCTTCCTTTGGAATGTGTGTAGTTGGCGACGAAATAGATTCTTCTTTCTTTGACCGTTCAATAACTGTTGGATGCTTAATGTTGGCAGCTACTAACAAGTTTTCAATAGTTAATGCGGCACTATGTAGATGATCGTCTTCTTTTTGCAAATGTTTTACTTGTAAAACATCATCTGGATAAACTTGAGCAAAGTGGCTTTGCAATTTTTCTGGAGTAATATTACTTCCATTTACTGAATCAATATATTCGGCTCGTTTAATACGTTCGTTCTCTGTAAATTCGATTAAAATTCCAACCCAATGTAAATTTTCCAAATGATATGGAATAAGTGCAATGCGTTTCCCTATGTGATCTTTTCTTTCTTGTTGTAATAACTGTTCTAACTGACGTTCAATACTATCGTCGACAGCAGCTAATGCATGAATGGGTTTTGAAAAGTGTTCAGGAGATTTTTGACGTAATTCTTCTAATTTGGTGGACAGAATTGTGTGAATATCTTTACACGTATACTGTTTGTTAATTAAATCTCCTAGTTGTGCCATGGATTAAGATATCGACTTTTCGAAATCGAATATACTGAATTTCGCTCTGGCTATTCCAGTCAGATAAATATTCAAATAAAAAATGTTTCTGAAGTTCGTCTAAAATCAAATATAGCCGTCATTATTATGCAAATGTTACACCAATCTTCACTTTTTTTCACAGTTTTTGAAAACATATACATCAAATTTCAATATTATTATTTTAGAAGATACAACAAAAAAGAATTTTTCGAAAATCTTGCTCAAAATATGCTTCAATATGCAAAGAAACAAGTCATTTCTTTAAGCAATATATTTCTCTAACTGAAATTAGTGAACTCAAAACTTTGGCCATTTTTTGTTATTTGAAAAGATTTCTTTTAAGTCAATCCCGATGATATATCTAACATATATTTCTAAATCATACTTATTTTTCAAAATTCATTTCAAAAATCATGCATACGTTTAGCAATAAACACTATTCTATTTACTCATTGAAACCACTAAACGTGTAATGTCGTTACTGATAATTCATCAGCTGTCGTTGATCACTGTATGTGAATATGCAATCCTGATATATTCTAGAAGAGTGAAACACATGCAGCAAGACGGTTGTTGCGAACTAAGTCTTCTGTCCATCTTTAGTCCCCGATTCATATACAGATCAGAGTTGTACTCGATCCGGGATTTTCGGACTGGTTCGATCTGGCCAGTTTGATTTTTAGACCGGCCAGTCTAGAAAAAAGTTTATTCTTGCTATTTTAATCGAATTTTTCTGACTTTGGGCACAGAAAGGTCATATCGAGCTTCTTCAACTATATAAGCTCTACAAAAATAGAATGTGTGACGTTACTACATAGAAAATCTAATATAACATACGATGCAAAAGTCTCGGCAAAAATGTCAGAAACTGTTAAACCACTTTGCCAATCTCTAAAGCAACCTAGTGTTTTTTTGTTGGAAATAGCAAAGCCTGAACTAAAACTTTTGTATCGGACATATTTTTCCAAAACGAATGTGAGAAGAAGGAAAAGCCAAAAACGAAACATCTCTAAAAAGGTTCTTTCAATTTTTTTGCAACTTAAAAAGTTTGTATTTTCCGATAATTTTAAGCTATATGCGCCGAATTTTAACAAAAAATTACACTAAACTGTAATGAATCAAAAACTCTATCGATGTCAATTTTGATAAAAAAATTTTCGATCGATTTTTCATTGTTTAAACAAAAAAGTTTCGGAATCGGAATTTTTATAAAACAATGCTTTTAGCATGGACTATCAGTTTTCAAAAACATAAGCATTCGTCCTCAGAAATCATGTATAAACTGCATTCTATATGCGTTATTTGTTCGAAGTACGTTAGATTATGAAAGATTAGTAAAAAGTAATTCAAAAAAATTTTTTTTTTATTACAAAACAGTCAAGTAGAAAGAACGACGAAGTTATACAATCTCTTTCAGAAAAAAATAGATTTTTGTATAAAAACCAACTATAAATTTATCTTTTAATACACCACTGAAAAGAGCACTGTTTATGCTACAAAAATCCCAGTTAAACGTGTGTTTTACGTGTTTTCTCTTCTCATATAAACAAATAGCAGAAAATAGAAAATAATACTGCACAATAGTGACGTTGCAAGGGAGTGTTT